ACCCCTCCCTTGGGGAATGCCCTGCCTGAAGCAAGGCTGAATGCTAAATCAGACAGGGAGCAGCAGAAACACAGGTGCTCAGCAGCCCTGGTGGCTGCTCACGTTTGATTTTATTGATTTCTGCCCAGCAGAGATTGGCTGAAGCTCAGGAGGATTTGAGCAGTGGCAGTGGGATATGGAAACAGAGGGTGGTGGCACTTTGGTTGCTGTGTTTCTGTCCTGCTCCAAAAAATATATCTATATATCTATATATCTATATATCTATATATAAATAAATTAACCTGCCCTTTACTTATTCTGCTTAATTACAGCTGTGACTGATTGAGGGTCCCTTGGGAGGCATCTGAACCACACCAAAAATGCAGAGCTGTGGTTGGAATTTTTATTGCTCTCAGTAATTCATCTCCAGGTAGGAATAGGCTGAGGAATGGAGACTGGGAATGGACTAAAAATATAATAAAATAAAGAAAATATCATAGGTTATTCCTTTATTTTTTCGGTTCTCAAGCAGTTTTCCAAAAGAAATGTGTACTTAGATAAGGAGCTGTGTGTGGAGAGTTTTTCTTTTAAATTTTTGTATTTATGCCTTTGCTCAATGATGCAGATAACTAATTTGGCAAAAAAGCACAATATCCCAAAACAGTTCTATAGCATCCTTACAAATGTGCAAAATGCTCATTATTGGGCTCTCTGATTTTGTCTGTAGCCTTTGGCTACAGAAATATTATTAATAAGTGTTGTGCATCTGCAGATATTACAAGCTCTCTTTTCATGGGGAGTTATACAGCCCACTAAATCCTCCTGTAAACACTCTCTCCACCACAAAGGTATGAAATCAGAAAGGGTGGATGAATCCATGCAGGCAACTGAAGGATTATGGTTATTTTAGGCAATATCTTGAACAGAACAGGCACATCCCCAGCAATAAACATCCCCAAAGAGCCTGGGAGGGGTCACAGCACCAGGTGTTTATTACTGCCAGGGTCATTAGTGCTGCAAAGACAGATTCCAAGGTGTTCCCATTGCCACTATCCAATGTCATCTTTGACATAAAAATGTAAATCTCACAAGTCGACTCTTTGTTGTAATTGAATTACCAGAAGGAGCACTTCTTGCAGGAGCAGGAGCTGCTCTCAGCACATGGAGAGGGAGGCAATTAAAACCTGCTGCATCCCAGCTCTGGGGCTGCTGCAGCTTCTCGTGGTTTTAACAAGTGCCTGGAGCGCTGTTCCCGCATGGAATCCGCCTCAAAACCTGCCTGGAACTGGAGATTTTCCTCCTTGGGTTTAGCCTGGATTGGTGACCAGCCTGGAACTGTAAATTATGGGCAGTGATGGAATGTGAGAGGCAGGAGAAGCTTCAGGGGGAACTGGAGTTCTTAGCAGAGTGTTGGAGAGGATTTGGTGGGTTTAGGGCTGACCTCACCTCTGTGGGGAGCCCTGAGCTGGCTGGAGTTATCCCTCACCTTGGCAGAGGTTCTTTGTCTGCCTCCACAGCAGATCTGGAGGTTGTTGAACACAGCAAATATTTCAGAAAGCTGCTTTGATTTATTTCCAGAGCCCAAAACTTCATTAAGGTCCCTAATCCAGGTCTTCATTCCACCTCTTAAATCTTGGGAACTGCTCCCCAGTCACACATGCCTTCATTTGCGTTGCCCAGGCAGGGAAATAATGAAGAATTGATTTTGAAATCAGGAAACGTGTAAGCACTTAATAAATAAATAAAAATGTATTGAACCATCTCATGCAGGTGAGACTTGTCAGGGATTAGCAATGCAGCTGATTTGGAGCCTGGATTCTGTCGCTGCCTTTCCAGAGCCAACCACTTGATGAACAAGGTAATTGAGTCCTGGCTGCTAATTAGGCCTTGTACTAGTTAGGGGGTTTTGTAGGTCTTTTTTTATCACATATATACATTGTTTCCTTTAGGGTTTTTAGGTTTTATTAGTTTTATTTTTTAATATATATTATTTCATCAAATATGGGGCTTGCATTTTAGAACAGAAATACAAAAATGATGCCTATATTAAATGACAGCTGCACTTTTTCCAGCTTTCCTCCTCTACTTCCCTGCAAGAGCCACAGGGTTGTTGTTTACAGGGTCTAATTCACCTGACCTTATCCTTGATAATGCATTTTGAAGATGGAGTGATTTAAAGTGTGGAGACGTTTCTGCAGCTCAAATATTTGCCAGGTAGAGAGAAACAAAAAATGCCTTTATAATTTGTATTTGTGTTGTTCTGCCATATGCAGTAGATTATGCCCCTGAAGGGTTTATGAAATGAAGCCAAACGAGTGGCAGTGAGAGTGTGACACACAGAAGGGCCCAAGTGGCACCTGGCAGGAGCTGAGTGACAAAGGGGAATAAATGTGTAACAGGTCCTGTGAGTTTGTGACACTCACTCAGAATCCATGTGAGTCACAAAGCACCTGGGGCACGATAAAGTTTAACAGCACCATTTCAATTCCACCCATTTGCTTTAGGATGTTTTATTAGGGGGATATTTCAGCAATAGGTTTTGGAGCTCTAAATTAACGATTTAAAGCACAGGGCTTCAGGAAGTATCAAAGGACTGACTCCCTTAAATGTGAAAGATAGATTTAATCTCCTGGTATTTATAATTTTCCAGTTTTCTGGCACAGCTGCAACTGGTGCTGAAAGCTTTCTGATGAATAAGTGTCCCCTGGAAGAGAAGGAAAGGTTGTAAACTCCATGGCCTGGTTTGAGGCTCCTGTGAAATACTGAGCTGTGTGAAACGGCGAGAAACAAAACAGGGCACCACGAAATCAAACAGGAGCAGAGAAACAAAAGAGAAATAGAGACAAAAACCCAAAGAGAGGGAGGTATTTTGCTGCATTGTAGCAGATGAAAGTTGGGTGAAACCAGTGATTTGTGCAATCTGAGGGTGGCTGGTGATCAAAGCAAGCAGCGATTGATCTGGTGCTGAGCTGCCTGAGGAAAAGGCTCCTCAGCCCTGGTGGATGAAGGTCCTGTGGTTGTTTAGAGGAGAGGACGCAGAACTGGCTGTGATTAATCAGCTCCTTCCCTCTGGAAAAGCTGCAGTCAGCTCCTGGAGCTCAGGGATGCACGGGAGACTCCAGCAGGAGCAGCAGGGGATAGAGTGGCTGAGAATACAGAAATCAAAAGGAAGGAGCTGCTTTAATTTTGGTGAGTGGGAAGTTGATTGATGTTGAGACAATAAACCCACCCCTGCAGCCAGGGACTGAAATGCAGGTATTGATGTGCTCTGGAGATGAAACAGCTGGCGAGGGAGGGGGAAAGTGGAGGCTGCAGCAGATTTTATTGCTGTGCAAGGGCTGCTCTGCAAAAAAACTCCTGCTGATTTTTGGAGGTCCCCCAAAGCATAAGAAAGTGCACCCTGTGTGTGTCCCCACCTCAGCTGTGCTGACAGGTCCCACAGAGAAGTGCCAGCACTGTATTAAATCTGCTGCTGATTTCTTCTGAATGAATGTTGAATGCTGCTTCTCCCACTGTTCCCCCAGCTCAGGAGGTGCTCCCACCTGTAGCTCCTGTGGAACATCAGCCACACTCCCTGTGCTTGTTGTTTATTCTGAGGGCTTTAAATAATGTTGAGAAGGACCATTTTAAACATGGGTATGGTTTTTATCTCATTTCAAGTGCCTGGAGTCCTGTTTCATTGGAAAATGTGTGTGAAGGCAGGCAGGAATCCCACAGAGAGACTTCACCTGGAAGGATCACAAATCTGACCCAACACTTGTTAGTGCTCTGGAGGGAGACTCTGCTTTGCTCCCTGTTAGCAGCACAGTCATTCTCCTCCACTTCAGGGTCGATTATTCCTGCGGTGTTAATAAAATCTCCTTTAGATTAGCATTTAGATGATGGATGAACTGGTTCCAGGGTGGTGGAATATTAGAGAGACAGAATTTGGCTCAGTGCTGTTTGAGCTGAAACCACGGAAGCTGGTCGGGTATTCTGGGCATGCAAAGGTCCCTGCACAATTAAATACGTGTTTGCCCTCGATCTGCTGCTGGAACAGCCAAGTGAGGTTTAAATTCTTCCTGCTACAGCGCCTTCTTGCCAGTGCAACTAAGCTGAGCTCAAGGAATTGGCTGTAATTAACTTCATGGACCTGATTGTGTTTAGGTGAGGGTTCAGAGCTCTGTCCCAGGTCTCTCTCAGTGCTGTGCCAGGAGATGGGATGGAGCTGAGCTGTGGCTGTGGGACGAGGCTGCAGAACAGCGGGGCAGCAGAGGGGAGGCACAGAGGGGCACAGAGGGGTGCAGGGTGGCACAGAGGGGCACAGAGAGGGACAGGGTGGCACAGAGGGGCACAGAGAGGGACAGGGTGGCACAGAGATGCACAGGGGGGCACAGGGTGACACAGAAGGGTACAGAAAGGCACAGGGTGACACAGAAAGGCACAGGGTGACATAGAGAGGCTCATGGCAGCACAGGGTGGCACAGGGTGGCACAGAGAGGCTCATGGCAGCACAGGGTGGCACAGAGAGGCTCATGGCAGCACAGGGTGGCACAGAGTGACACAGGGAGGCTCATGGCAGCACAGGGTGACACAGAGAGGCTCATGGCAGCACAGGGTGGCACAGTCAGGTGTTTTCCTGCCAGCTCTCTGCAGTTTGGGCACTCTGAGGCAGGAAGCACCTGGGAATCCCTGGCAATCTGTGGCACCAGGTAACTCTTGGTGCTCCAGGATGATCATTGCTCTTCCATCAGCCACCCTCACCCTCCAGCCCTTTCCCAGGGCTGGGACACCCAGGCCCCCTCTCACTGCTCACCCCTGTGCTGCATTTCTGCTGCATTGCAGGAGAAACACTTCCAAATACTCCCCTCCAAGCTTCCATCTTCCACTTTTGTCCTCACTTTTATAACTTGTGTTAATCCCTTTGCCTCCTTCTTGCTTTATCCCACCGGATTTTGCATATGTAGGGGAAAAATTGCAATTTTCTCCTGTGTGGATTTCAGCTGGGAATCAATGGCAGATTTATTGGCATTCACCAGCACTATGTTACCCCTCTTTTATTTATAGTTGTGATCAAATACTGGACAGGTACCTGTTAACTGAAAGGATATTTAAGCAAATAAATGTCAGCCTTGTTTAGGAAGAGAAATAGCACAGGAAAGAGATTAGATTTGTTCAAATTCATGGACAAAATGTAGGGGATCCTCACGTGCTCTTTTTCCTTTCCTGGAGTCTGTACACTTGGAATGCACGAAGGACAAGCAAGATATTCTTTGAAAAGAGAATTGGGCCACATTTCTGGGTGCTGGTGATTAAGCCATGAATCCTGTCACAGGTGGGGTTATGCTGCATGTTAAGCACTCACCAGTCATGGATATCAAGCAAGGGTCAGAAATTTATACCTAGGGATGGTGATGGGCAGGCAAATATCTGCTAATCTGTTTCCAAGCCAATAACCAGTTCTGAAAATTCCATCCCCAAAGAGATTTAATCGTTGGAGCTGATGTAATTTTCATTAGGGGGAGAGGCAGATCTGCAAGCTGTCAGCAGAGCTGAGCTGGTGCTGCTGAATGAGCTTCCCCAGGGACAGGATGTACAGGCAAGAGAAAAGGACAGCAGGAGCAGTTCCTCTCCACACAGCTGATCCGGGAGAGCAGCAACAAACCATCTGCAGGGATTTCCAAAAGAAATGGAAATGAGGCATTAGCAAAAGAAATCGATTTTTTTCTTTGTTTTGTATTATTACTATTTAATTATATAATAATATAGCCATGATAATAATATAATAATATAGTTAAATGTACTATAATATACTATAATATACTATAATATACTATAATATACTACACTATAATATAATATAATATAATATAATATAATATAATATGTATAATATAATATAATATAATATAATATATTATGTATAATATAATATAATATAATATAATATAATATAATATAATATAATATAATATAAATTGTAATTAATAGTATTTATTATGAATACATCTGTAAGGGGGAAGGAGGTGTGCTGGATTGGGGGAAGAGTGGAACAAGGGGTGGGAAGCAGATCAGGAGATCAGGACAGAGGGTGGGATCCCTGTGGAGGTAAAAGAGAGAAGGGGAGGAGCAGAAAAGCTTCAGGATGGGAGGAGAATCCCAGCAGGATGAAGCAATGCTGTTTTTTGGGGCGGGGGGGAACCTCTCAGCCCAGATTTCTTGTGAGAGAGATGAAGAGCAGGAGAAGGTTTGAGAGCAGGGGCTGGGGAGGATCAGCTGCTCCGTAACCCACTGAGGAGTGTTTGCTGTATTTACTGGGGGGACCAGAGGGAAACAGAGCAGGTTCATGAAGAGCTGAGCTAATCCACGGCTGGAGGTGCAGCTGAACTTCAGACCAGCTCAGGAATCCACGCTTTGCTTGGCAAGAGCTCTCAAACCCCAAGTGCAGCTCTGCTTCCCCTTGCTGGCTTCCAATTCTTTGGAAATTTCCAAAAACCAATTGGAAAGAAACCAATCCTTTTGGTTTTTTGGGCTGCTCCTTCACCTTGTCCTACCTGAAAGAGTGAGCCCAGTTAATCCCTGGAGGTGTTTCCAAGCCCCAGAGCCATGCTGCTCGCCAGGAATGCCGTGGGGATGCGGTGGGCTGCGCTGCCTGGAGATGCAGATTGCCATGGCAACTTGAGCCTTTCCAAAGGGCCTGAGCAAAAGGAGCTTTGCACAAGTGAAACGGAAAAAAGATCTGAGAGTCTGACGTTTAAACATCAAAAAGACACCCAAAATTTTCCTGGCCTGGGTTTCTCTTCCTTTGCTTGGAGAATCACCGAAGTATTTAATAGGAATAACCAAAGCTTTAATAAGTGGGGTTTTCATCATTTAAGGACTAGTAAATAAAGAGTTTTTAAAGCAGGCTTGAAGTTCATCTGGGGCTCAACAGGAAAAGGATTTATTTGGGAATGGGCACTGTGAAATAGGAGTTGTTGACTCTTCCTGCTGCAACTTCGAAGGCAATCAGGTCAACAAATGTTCATTGCCTCAGTTTCCCCAGCCATAAAATAGTCACATAAAGTAAAGGGTGGAGATGACGTGGGGAGCTTTTGGAAATGGGCCGGGGAATAAAGAGCAGCTGCATGTTGGAATTTTAGCCCTTTCTTGTAGGAGGGAGCTGAGAAACACCTGTTGGGCCATCCTCAGCTTGCTCAGGATGAGGAATCTCAAGCAGGGAAAGCCTTTGGATGTTAAAATCCCCAGCCCTGCTTCTGAAAATGATCCCAAATCACTGGGACAAGCCAGAGATTTAATGTACTGCCAAGGAAAGCCTGAATTTTAAAAATTCTATCTACAGGCAGTTCTAAAAAACTTTTAAGAACATGAATATAACTGAGCAAATGATCAAAATCTTTTGTTCTATTTGGCTTCATTTTCCCCAGAACAGCAAAACCATTTCCATGTGTTTTCCATACATGTTTTGAGAGCTTTAAATGGCATTTTTAAATATCAATAAGATACAGGCTCTAGGCAAAATTACTTTTCAACCACTTCTCGCTGTTGGAGAATTTTTTTATTGTTAATCTGTGCTTTCATTTTTTAAATAAAAATCCCCATGGAGAATACAGCCAATAGAGTTACAAGTGATAAAAACATGGAACTTGTGTAGTTATTTTTCTTACCTTTAGTTAAAATAAATAAATTCCTGTAGATATATCCATGAATGGTTTCAGTACCAACCTGTGTGGGAAGATTTTCTGTGGAGGAAGATATCTTTGGTGCAGTGGTAGGTGAATTTCTAATATTTTTTTGGGTGGAAATAGAGAGGGGAAAGGGAAGGGAAGGGAAGGGAAGGGGCTTGGAGCAGCCTGGGACAGTTGAAGGTGTCCCTACCCAGAGCAGGGGGGGACTGATGAGATTTGAAATCCCTTCCAATCCAAACCATTCCATGATTCCATGATCCTGAGTGAACCTTGGCTGTTTCAAGAAGTTTGTTGTGTACTGGCCCTTGCTTTCAATTCAAGAAATTCAAGCTACTGGTGAATGAGAACTTAGCCAATTTAGAAACCTTTTGCACTTAATTCCTGGGAATTGTGGTTTCTCAGCAAGGGTCATGGGTGCCCTTTATTCAGTGATCATGAGACAGCAGCAAATTGCTAAAAACTAGTTCAATTGACAAAGAAGCAAAAAAAAGGCAAAGAAAGAAGGATCCCCTCAGAGCAGAAATTACTGCACACAAACCCCTGTATTTCACTGTAAAGACATATTTCAAACCAATTCAGGAAGATTAAAGCTGGCAACTTTGCAATAAGCTGATTTTTCTCTCTTTTAAGTTAACGCGTGATAGATCCAACTCTGGGCTCGGAGCATTCAAACCCTTTTCTCTCTCCCTTTTAGGTGGTGTTTTTTTGAAAGGTACAATCAGCTGCTTTTGTTGCAGCATCCCAACGTGTGCTTCCTCGTGTGAGTTAAAACCAGTGGCTGATCCAACCTCTGCTGGAAGTCGGAAATGGAGCTGCTGCTCACAGCTGCTGAGGGGGTTTTGAGAGGCAGCTTTGCTTTCCAGATGTCTGGAGTCTTGTCCCTACAGCCAGCGTGGAAAATAAGTTTTATGGGCCTAAAGTTTACAGTTCAGCACCTTGTTTTGATGTCACCTCTGAATTCTGAGACTTCTGCAGAGAAATTGGGGGTTTTCCACATGGGAAGCTTTGGAAATCTGTCTGTATTTTTGGTCTATTTGTGTTTGTACAGCCCCTGGTGCAAAGCAGCTGCCAACTGAAAGGGTTCCTGTGTCCAGGTAACAATTGAAAGGCAACACTATTCAATCATAAAATACTAACTAAAATATTCCAGTCATGCAAACATTTCAATTTGAAGAGAGTGAATATTCCCATTTTCCTGCAGGAGGACTAATTCAAAGCCTGAAGTTAAGAAAAACAATTTTTTCCCCCACTAAAAGTCTAGACAGTAACAGAATTAACTCCTAAAGATAAAGATCTGAAGATCAGGATCAATGTTTAATTTCATTTCAGCTGGCTGCTGATCAGGAAGAGGAAGCATTACCCACCATCAGCAGGGCTTTGTGTTTAAATGAGAAGGCATCAGGAGGAACAGATTTACAGGATGTTCCTTAGTGATGCTGCAAGAGTCACTCAGATGCTGCCTTTGACTTCTTGCCTCATTTCCTTTTCCAGCATGTGATTTTTAAAGGAAAGCAAAGCAATTTGCCCTTTTTGGATCATCAGCAATGAAGCAGTGAATTCTTTACCAGGAGTTAAAGCCAAGCTGCAGGAGTGCAGCTCGGAGTTGTAGCTGCTCACTGATGCCTGGTAAATTGGATAATGGTTTTCAGCTTCCTTTCATTGTTACAGCTGTTGGCTTCAATCTGGTTTGGTGGTTTGATTAAAATAACATTATTCCTCTAACTTGGCAATTGCCTGGTGTTGGGTGACACAAATGAACTTGGCTTTTTTTTCTGAGGAGAGTTGAGGATCTGCTCAAGGGGAAATCACCAACAGGCCCAGAAAACTGATACAGCAGGGCAGCAAAATCAAATATAGGACTTGAAAATCTTTACACAGAAAATCAGTGGAGAAGGAAAGCTGCAGTGCTTTGTGCTGTTTTTAACCCCTCACCCAACCTCACCCCTTTTCCATATTGAAGTCTCATTCCACAGGAAGGGAGGACAATTTGCCATGGTGCCATTCTCACCTGGAACCAGTTTAGCAATGCCACATCCCTAAACCTCCTGGAATTATTTGAGAATGTTTAAAAATGCTCCAAAGAGTGTGACAGCAAACTGAAGTAAACTCTCGTGTGTTAATCTCTAAAAGAAACTAAAGAGCAATTCATAGAAGTGCAAATAAAGATGAAAAACTCTTCTCCAAAGACCAGGGGCCATTATTTTGTCATTGTGGAAGATATCTGTTGCCTTTGTGCCACTGGAAATGTGCAGAGGAGGGGAAGTTGGGCAGAGAAAGAAATATTCTTCCCATTTTATGGCCGGGGAGTTTTAGCACAGGCACTTGACAGAACTTCCACAGCCTCATCTCAGAGCAGTCAGGATGGGAATTCAGATTTAGTTCCAATAAGCAGCTTTTATCACAAGATTGTTTTTCTTCCTTTTATAACTTCCAGCATCTACATAAATAACCAATAAGCCTTTAAAAATGGGATCCCTCTTCTTCTTCTTCTGTTCCATTTCCAATTCTCAGCCTGGTTACATTGGCCAGTTTATTATCTCCGATGTTTACTTTACACTATAAATGGAAATGACTTCTTTCCCTTCTTCTTCATGTTTCATGGTCATAATATCCTCCAGCGTTCCATTATCTCTGGGTACCTATGATAGATCAAAATCTTATGGACTCGCTATTTTGTAATAAATTAAATTGGCTGTAATAGAAAACTTAAGTAGCTGTAATGGCTTTTTATAAGTAATGGGTAAACTGGATTTTCTGTAGTAGAAATGGATTTCTAAATAATTTATCATCCTATGTAAATTCGTGTAAGAATGCAGGGAATGAGAGTAGGAAAATCACAATCCAGTGTCATTCTGGAGAGATTGTGTATTTATAGGGACATTGTTCATTAATTTTTGAGAACAGAGCTATTATTTATCAGGCACATTCTTGATTCCATGCTGGTCACACTGCAGTCACTTAAGGCCTCTAAAATCATGCTGGAAAAGGGGAAAATGTCAGGGAAATTTGGATCAAATGATGCCTTAAGCATCGATGGAGATAAAAATCTCTTTTAAATTTATGCCAATTGTCAGGGAGAAAATAGGTTTACCTATAGTGGGAATTTCAGGAGTCTTCTAAAATATTCCAAGCGGAAAGGTTTTGTTGGAGTTCTCGTGCTTCAATTACAGTTTCAACATCAGTCTTTGTTGCTCTCATATTTCACCACAGCAGAAGTATTGATCAGAGCACAGAAAGTATCGGTGATTCATCTCCAGCTGCACTTTTGTGCCTCTGGTTTGTGTTTAAGTTTGATGACAAACATTTTGACACCGAGCTGATGAGCTGGCTGATAAATACCTGCTCCTCTGCATGCTTGATGTCATAAACTCAGTGCACAGCAAAATTCCCTGCTTACCTGTTCCTTTGCTGCAAAGAGAGGGGAGGGAAAAAGGTTCTTTGCTGCTGGACTTGCTCTTTCCTTTGCTCTTGGACTTGCAGGAATGGGGCCTTTGATGGAGGCAGGGATGGAAAGTGGGATTTGGGGTGAGAGACACGAGTTGCTCCTTGCTTTGTATGCCCTGACGCCCCTGAGTTCTGCTTCAGGCTTGGAATTGAGGTGAAAATCTGCCATGGAAGTTCCCACCTTCACTGCAGAATAGAAACCACAGAGAATGGGGTGTTCCTTTAACCTGCAGGGTCTGAACTGCATTATCAAAGCACAGCTGGTACACACAGCTGTGACATCCCCAACAGGATCAACCTCCAGAGGAGCCTTTCTCCCTGGAGGTGCCAGAGATTTCATGGAGTTACTTTACTCTGGGTCTCAAGCAGGACACGCAGGGTGGGAGCAGGAGCTCTGGAGGGTGATGAGCAGCTAAACAGAGCCCACCTTCAATCGCTGGTGGCTCTCAGCTCCCGTGTCACGAGGGCAGCCTTTCATTCCTCTGGCCAGCTTGAAGAAGGAGAGGACAATCCAGCTTTGCAATTCAAATTTTGTCTTTTTGCTGTTTCCTTTTCTGCTTTTCCTGTTCTTTTTCCAATCCTGATTTCTCAATTCCTTCTTCTCTCACAAACAGAGCTCTGACAGAATTTTTTGGCTCAGTGTGGTGAGACTCATCCCTCTTTGCTTTACTCCTTGCCTATCCCACGTCTCTGCCCTGCTCCCTGACTTCAGCAGGGATGAGATTGTTGCTAATGCCAGAAAATCTCCGTGTGCCCAAGGAGGGGACCTGTGAGACACGTCCTGGCACCAGAGCTTTGGGTGATCTTTTAGTTATTGCGATGGTCAGAGCTGCCCGTGGCGAGCGCCATCCTCGCTGTCGTGACAGGGGCAGCTCAGATCCATCACTGCCCTCGGCTCAGCTCTCCCACAGCCCAGCAGGGCCCTGCTGCTCCGGGAAATCCTGCAACCCACATTTCTGGGATGGGTTTGTGCTCATCCCACTCAGAGCAGAGCTTTTACAGCAGGCGCGGGAAAATCTGGGGACCAGAAATACCCGAGGGCAAAGGCCTGAGCCAGGAAACCTCTGGGTTTTATTGGAAGATCTTTGAGGGTGGCTTTTGGTGGCTTAACACAGACACCTTTCAGTACCAAAACCAAGCAGTACCAAATAAAAGAAGTAATTAATGAAGATAATCAGTATTGAAAATCTCACTGAATGTAAAAAGTGACACAGAATATGGAGGAGAGTAAGAATATGGATGAGCAGTAAGTTTAAATAAGATTTTTTTTCTTAAACCCCATTTCATTTATTTGATGCTGTGTTGTTGGTTGATTCTGGGCTCATTAACTTACACACAAATCAGCTTTTTGCCTCGTATAGACTGTGTGCTTAATGAATATTCTAAACTGGTGTTTTATTAATGCACTACCTTAATTAGTGGGTAAAAAAGACTCCAAACACCTTTAAATTGTGTGATTTTCAGGGCAGCATGAGAGAAGCAGAAGGTAACAGTGAATTTCTAATTCCCTTCAGAAAATAAAAATCCAAAGTAATGGCTGCAGCTATTTGTGTCGGCCATAAAAATTGATATAACATGTGGTAAACCTCCTATTGGGTATTATTACAAATGATTGATTCCTCTCTCCTCCTCCAGTTTAGATGGTGCAGTTCTTACTGTACAAACAACTCATGAAAAGTCAACATGTTTTACAAGTAAATAATTTACAGCCACTCTGCAGAACACAGAATAATATTTTACGTTAAGTGACATTAATTAGGGTGGAAATATTCACATGGCGAAGGGCTGGGAGATGGCTGCTGCAAAGGAAATTCTTTTCCTTGCAGTCTAAATGCAAATCAGAAACATGGAGAGTCACGACCACATTGCTCTGGAGGGAGAAATAATTCCCATTAAGTACCAGCTCTGAAATAACTCCAAAATTTGGGGAATGTGAGCCAGATTCGAGGCAGTGACGGTCTCAAGCATTGCCGTCTTTGAAGGTTTTAGATGTGTTTGAGATCGGTCTTAATTAAGGTGAGGTTTATCCCATAGTTTTGGGGTTTCATCCCCTAAACCCATGGTTGTCCTCAGCCCCAGCAGAAGCCAAGTGGCTGGGTGGGATTGGTGTCACACACCTGGGATTTTGGTCAGTGCAGATACTGCAGTTTGGAAATGTGCATTAGAACCACTCAAGAATTCCTGCAGTTGTGCTGCTCAGAACTTCTGCCTAAAGCGTGTTTCTTCAAAAGGAATTGGTGGTTGGTCATCCACCACCTTGTGCCCACTCCCCAGAAGTGCAGTGTGAGGAGAGAAATCATAAAATCATGGAATGGTTTGGGTGCCCTGGACACCTCCTCTGTCCCAGGCTGCTCCAAACCCCAAGGTCCAGCCTGGCCTTGGGCCCTTCCACAGCTTCCCTGGCCAATCCCTGTGCCCTTTGAGCAGCAGAATTTAAAAATCTCACCTGTTAACTGAGACATGAGAGGTGGACTTTGCTGATAATCTTGTAAATTTGCAGAGATTTGGGATTTTCTTTCAAGTTTTAGCCTTGTAGAATGACGAATTCTCAAAGTCCATCCCATGCAGTGAAAACCATGCCCAACCTGTGGGACAAATCCTCTTCACCCTAAATCAGTCTTTGACATTTTCCTGCCCACTATTCCTAAATGTGCAGAAATGTCCTCGTGATGTCACAGACCAAGGAGTAATCAGAAATTATAAGTGTTTTTAAGTCTGTAAGAGCTGTTGGGGAAGCTCTGCCTGACATGAGGTGAGATACTCAGTTCAAAATCCAACATCAGAGTTTGCTGGCAGCAGAAACTTTTGACTTATTCCAAAAGGATGAAGATCAATTAACGAGGATGGAAATTAATTAATGGGTTCTTTGCTCCATCAGTGTGTGGACAGCCTGGTTTCTGTGCAGGAGGATGAGATATTGGGGTCCCTTAGGTTTCAGCTCTCTGGGTCCCTGGCTGTAGCACCTTGGTGAAACCACCCAGGCTTGGCTTGCCAGGCCTGAACATTTGGTAAAGTCTGAGTGAACCCCAGAACACTCCTGGGTGTTCCTTGCTCCTTGCAATGTCCTTTCCACTTTGCAAACAGAACATCCTGGACACTCCTCTTTCTCCTTGTGAAAGCAGCCATAACGTTTTACTGTTGCAAAATCATCACTTTGGGGGCCAAAAGCACCTTTAGGCCTTCCCTTGGCGTTTTGATGAAACCAATCAAAGCAGCATTTTATAGGATGGAAAAAAACAAGAGGGAAGCTGTCTCCTTTTTCTCCTTTTTCTCCTTAGAACCACAAGAGGCTTTGCATGATCGGAGCCGTAACTCCCAAACCGCTCTGCGGCTGGAAGGAACTTCAGGAGCATTATTTATTCAAATTACAGGCATGAAGGACCACATGGGAAATATGGAAGAGTGCCTCCTGTAAATGACAGCTTAGGGAGAATTTCCAATTGCACGAGACAGCTGTATCCCGAAACTTAATCTAATTACTGGAGTGTGGTGAGAAATGTCACCCTGAATCAAAGTGATCCCATCCTCTGTGTTCATGGCGAGCTCTGACTTACATATGGCCACGTTTGGGATAACCTTTAAATCCAAATTCCAGCTCGGGGCTGATGTCATGCCTTTGGAACCGGGGGAATTTGAGCATGAGGAGTTTCATCCTTGCTCGGAGCAGCTCAGCTGCACAAAGTTCAGAGCAGCCCTTGCCTGGGACATGTGCTCCCATCCCAGCACGCAGAACCAGAGGAAGCCTTGGTGTGTTTCCCTTTTCCCAAGCCCATCTCTCAAATTGTTTTCCAGTTGTGCTTCAGGACTGTGAGGAGAGGGAAAGGACTCGCTGGGCTCTGCTCTGCCACCCCCATATGCTTCTTTCTGTTTTGCTGCACATGAACAGCCCTCTGATGACTTGAAATGTTGAGTTTCTGGAAGGCCCCTGGTTTTCAGCTGCTGGTGTGTGCCAACAAATCTGAATATTCAATCAGATGGAAAGCAGCAGCTCAAAAACATGCAATCTGCTCCAGGCTGGGATGCACAGCTGCCTGTGCTGGGATGCACATCCTTGGCTGCCACCGAGGCTGTCTGGGAGAACAAAGAGCACGTTTTGAAAGCTCAGAACACTTTCTGTTTGGGCTTTTTTTCTTCCCTCGCTTGTAAAGTGCTGAATTGGCTGTGCTGAAGCCAGCAGGTTCTCGCTTTTCCATGCAAACAGATTTAACAAGATGTGGAAACGCTGGATTCACTCACCCTGTTGAGCTGACCTGTTCCCAGCCCTTGGTACTGACACCTTTCCTCCTGAGAAACACAAATATAATTGACTTTCTGTAGCTGCTGGTTTCCCAGCAAATTCAGGGAGTCAAGGACATGCTCAGCAGCTCGAGGGCTGATCTCAGAGACACCAATCAAGCAGGGATTGTGTCAGAACATTTCTGCCAACACCAGGTGAAATCTGCCAGGGCCTGCTGCTTGCCTGGGACAGCCCCCGGCCAGGTCTTTGGTGAGAAACAGGTTTAAGAATAACATTTGTGTGTGGCAAGGGCAACAGGCCTGCATTTCAAGCTGCTGAGGAAGCCTGTGTGCCAGCCTGGTGTTTTTTAATCAAAACTCACTTGAAAAACAGGAATAAGTGCAGTTGTGTGTTCTTGGGCTGGGCTCGTGCTGGGCTGGTGATTTCTGGGCCTTGGTGCTGCTCAAAGCTCCAGTGGCTGCTGCAGGTGCCTCTTGCAAACTGAATTGTTCACACGGAGAAAGAACTCTGTAGAAATAAGTTAAATTTTGATTTTTTAAAAAATAATACCCGGATTTCAGCAAAGCTTTTAACAGCCAGCCTAAGGACTCCTCTTCCCTGGAGGTGAGGTTACCCTGCTGAATCAGGGGTTCATCATCCCTGCTGTAAGGACTTGTCCTTTTACTGAAAATCATGGGATATGCTTTTGTGTGGGAATTGATGTCAATGACAAAACTGAGTCCTAGCATTCTGCTTTTTTTAACCTCAACTTGATGAAAGACAGACCTTGAAAATGTACAGATAAGAGGCAACATGGAAAATCTCTCCTCATTTCCAGCCCAACCCGTAAAATCTGACAGGAGTGTTTTGCTGTGGGCTTGATGTTCCCAATATTGAGCAGAGCAGGGAAGAAATTGCAGGAGATCAGAATTTCCAAGACCTTTGAGGCTTGTTTCTCCCTTTCCAGCCAGCAGCAGAACCTGTTTGGGGACAGCTCAAAGCCA